CTGCATGGAAAAATGCTACTTCCTGCTTTTTATTTGACTCAGAATTGTTGATATTTTGTCACCAGGGTAACAACACGTGTGTTTGATTATTCCTTAACATCAGCAGATGTGTGTGTGTGTGTGTGGATGGCAGTAGGTCAAAGCACAAGTCTGCTCAAATTTAGGGAAGTGGTGTAGACTATGAAGGGGCATAAATAAGGCATCAGACACACAAATGTCACATTTAATATCATCAAAAACATTTTCCTTCTGTGTGCAACTATTCACCAGGATGCGGTCACAAAGTAGATAGAGTACTTTATTAATCCCTGAGGGGAAATTCAGGTGGTACAGAAGCTCAGCAAGGGCATTTTACAAGAAAGGTTTAAAAAGTGAAGGAGTCCAAAACAGGCTTATAGTAATATACACAATGTCCATGCAGTCAGATAAGCAATAGAAACAGTATAAGCAGTCTGTGCAGGTCAGGTGTTTGAAGCTGAAGATTCCCCACCTCATATTTATATAACATAAGGCAGAGGAGGTTCAAGTGCAGCATGATGTTGTGCCATGATATTTGATTCCAAAAAACTGGATCCCCCTTCCCCACATTTCCCCAGGAATGTGCACTCACACATGCAAAGGACACATGGCATTCTACAGTCTTGCTAAATCAAAACTGCCAGTAGCTTATTACATATGATGCAGACAAAGTAGATTTTCAAGCAAGTTGTTTGTGTATGCTGTCAGTTCTGCAGAACTTTACGGAGTAGCTGATTGTACCATGTACTGAACAGTTGAGGTAAAACAGATTTTTTTTTTCTATCTGAAGTTTCATATTTTGGTGCAAGCCTGGTTTTAATGGTATGTTATTTACAAATGTCACACTGTAACCCTCTCACCCCATTCAGCGCTGAATAATTTGTACCAAAGCTTTTATAATGCAAGAATTTAGCATAGCCCTGCACTGCTAATGTATTTTCAAGTGACTAATTTGGAAGAATTTTGTATGTGATGTCTTTCTCCTCATTTGCATTTGTGCAACTCAACTGGCAAGTCTCAGACAGTCACGTGTTTTTGTTCCCGTCTTCTCATTGCCATGTTAAATGCTTACAGCATTTGTTTTCCTTTATGAAATATTCAGATCAGTCAGGCAGCTTACAAAGAAAAGTTTATTTACATGAGAATACGGCGCAACAGGACAATTAATGTTTGCCATCTTGTCTCTGACATCATCTCTCCCCACAGAGAGAGATATTGGAGAGTGAGGAGAGCAGATATCTTCTCCCTAGAGGATACAGTCAGAGCCTGCAGCTGGAGGTTCGAGTGGTGGGGCTGATTAAAGCTGAATAGGCAGTAGACGTGGTAGCTGGACATACAGCATAACAATAAATTGCCTCAACTCTTTGCATAAAGCTTAGCTATGAATGGGGTCCACTGGAGCACCTAGTGAACACCCACGTGCAGCTCTTACTCACTGTACTGAACTACTAGAGATGTAGGAACACATCTGTCTATGCAGGGTCCCAGCGTAGTTTAAAGAAAACTGTGCAAGTCCTGCCTCCATCTGAAATCATCAGTTAGCTTGTGAAAGTGGTGCCAACATGTCAGGTATTTAAAATGACTCTAAATTACTATATTTTTAGAAGACAGATATTTTCTGTAAATTTATGATAATTTTTTGACGCCCAAGCTGCCGAAATATCACAGTTTTTTATTTTTTAACTTTATTTCGGTGTGGTAATGTTGCTCTCAAATCAGCAGTGGTGGATGAACAGGGTAGGGATGTGCTTTTGCTCATCTTGCACACTTTGCACATGATTCAGAACCAAACATTGTTGTGCACGGTGTACAGCATGTTAATGTTTTTGGTAGCAGGTGTTCCTTTGAAGCAACTTTAAAATTTTAATACCGTGGTGGCATTTCGCAGAAACAAGTTTTCATCAAAACTTCACGCTCCTCCGCCCACATTCCCCCAAGCTGCATCTCCCCTTTTACACAGAGGCTGAGGCAGAATGGTTGCACCAATTTTACTACCTCTTGTGATTGAATGAAGGAGGATCAACATCTCTCTCACTTGCTCTCTCACACACACAGAGAGTGGAGTGGACGTTGCATTTTACTTGAGTTGACCACAGTGCTTGTTGCCCATACATGCAACAGAATCCATCAGCACTGGAGACAGTACGAACATTTTATC